CATGTTTGCGCTGCAAGAAATCTGTAAGCTGCCTAACAGTCCAAATTTGATCTTGTTCAAATAGTACTACCATGTCCTCAAATCCTGGCCATTATACACTTTCCAAATGTACAATGTCATCAAGGTTTTATGACATTTCCTACAAAAACTCAATAGTCAGGTCGCACTTCATCAGTTGAAGTTTCAAGTCCCGTATGAGAGCATAATGCCACAGCTGCAGCATGAAAACCACACTGCTCTTCTGACTCCAGCATCACTGCCACAAGGGAATAGCCCTCTAAACACTTTCCACACATGCATATGTTTGTCCCCTGCTAAAAGAACATCACATTTTAGAACCAGGCAGCAGAGTCACAAATATGGCAGTAGGGCCAGGATGAACTCAGTCTTCTTACAAAAGCCTGATGAGAGATGGTCTGCCACCTGGGGTTCCTGCTTATTCAGCGTGAGTTCCTCCTTCATGTGATCTAACAGCCTGTGTCCATGCCGGGTCTACATAGGAGTGGAGAGTTCTGATACCCAGAGCTCTGAAGGCAAAGCTGACAGAGGTGCAAGCTTCGCCTGGCCAGGTTAAACGTGGCTGGGAAAGACACTCGGTTCTACTGGCATCAAAACACAGTACGAGTTGCCAGCAAGTCTATGAGAAAGAAATATGAAGTAATACTGCACCTCTGACTTTGACATGAGTTTATTATTCTTTCATGCCAACACACCCTAATCCAAAGCTTATGCTGTTCCCATCCAACCTTACCCTAAAAAAGCCAATTATACTCATCGTGGTTGAAACTCCAAGGAGTCTACTTCCAAAGACAACTGCTTCATTGACCCATTAGCTTCTGTATTATTTCTACATTTTGAGGCAGTTTCCAAATTGTGTGCATCACTTCTTTGGGGATTATTCCTCTTTCATATGGCAACTACGACAGAGCTCCCACCCCATCATTATGCTGCCAATGGTTTCATTTCCTTCCCAAATACATCAGTAAACACTCGCTGAGCCACCTCTCCAAACATACTTGAAGCATTCCAAATCCAGGATCTATATGGATTAAACACGTGGATATGGTGATCCTGGTGCCAAAAGGAGCCATCACTTACAACTGGCTTCATTCAAGAGCTTCCAGATTGCTTCCCAAATCTTTGAGTCTGGCGGTGAGGGCATAGTTTGAAATCTCATAAAATATTCACATTGCTGAAAGTGCTCATTTGTCACTTACACACTGAAAGTGCCATCCTACAATTTTTACTGAGAAAACAGTTGTCATTTACTCAAGAATCAGAGTGCTAGGGTGGTGCTGTGGTGCAGTGGATTAACTCACCATCTGCAATGCCCACACCAGTTCTAGTCCCAGCTGCTCCACTACCCACCCAGCTTTCTGCTTATGTTCCTAGAAAAGCAGCAGAAATAGCCCAAGTCCATGAGCCCCTACACCTACATGGGACACTTGGATGGAGTTCCAGGCTCCTGGCTTTGGCTTGGCCTAGTACCAGCCATTGTGGCCATTTGGGGAGGGAACCAGCAGATGGAAGATCTCTGTCTCTGTCTCTCCCTATTTCTTGGTAACTTTGCCTTTCAAATAAATAAGTAAATCTTAAAAAAAAAAATAAATGAGAAGGCTCAGGCCCACCTCCTAGGAAAACAAACAACTGTGACAATCTCATAACCAGTGTTGTATTCATAAAAACTAAAGTCCAAAGGAGAATGAACCTTATTCTCTTGCTTTGTATTAACCAATTTATATTTTCCCAAAGGCAAAAAAAACAAAACAAAACAAAACAAAAAAAAAACAAAACCTTATATCTAGATTGTGTGACCTTGGGCAAGCTTAACACAGCTTTCATATTCCTCAGTTCCTTATATTATTCATTCCACCTGTCTCACCAGGTTATGGTCAAGAGTCATCATGCAGGTGACAAGCACAGTGGAGTATCCAGCATACCATATCCAGTATAAATAAGTTTAATAAATATCAGTGTTTTCTAGCCTGCGCTGCTGGAGATTTTAAATGAAGCATCTTCCAGTGACTCCTTAGAAATGTTCCAAGATTTGCTGCCATAATTGTCTCTCCGTTATTCCAACCTGCCCTAAATAGTCCTGAGATTCAACAGTCCTTAGCCATCTCTGCACAGGTCTCTTCTACTTACCTATATTAATTAGCTGGTGAGGCAAGAGAGGTCCAACAACTAGGACCTTGTACATTAAGATCTTGATGGTATGAATTAATAATACATCTATCAAAGCACCAGTACTCTGAGAGTTCCAAGCAAATGCACTGTCCCTACTTTTAACTCTTTGGTAAAGTCTCTATGGTATGGTTTAAGTCTAACTTTGTTTTATTTTTTTTTAAATGAGAGCCTCATTATTCTGTATTTAATGTCCTGTTCGGGTTTCTTTCTGACTATAACAGAACAAGAATGCACTAGGAAGAGACCAGCTGGCTCTCAGAGTTTAGGAAAGACCAGAAAACTCCCTGATGAAAAGGCAGAATCATGGGCAGGTGTGGGTCTGGATATTGGAAATTCTGTGATCATTTTGTCACAGCCTCTCCTAAGAAATAAAGGGGCACAATCTGTTGTGGACACCTTGGCATACCTCCGTTCTGCAGTCAAATTCCCAAGAAAGAACTTCCTCATAGTGGGGGGTAGGCATGTGACCTGACTCTGGCCAATCAAATAAATGCTCCTTCCCAAGAGTTTATGGAGCACATTCATCGATTCGACAAATATTTAATGACCATGTATACCTTCTGGGTGGTAAAGATAAAACAGTGGAAAAAGAATAAAATCTGTCCTCCTGGAATTTACATTCTAGTAATATAAAAGGACAAATTTTAAAATATATACATTTGTCAGATGGTGATAAGTTCTACTTACAAAAATAAAACTGGATGAAGGAATACAGAGGGTAGGAACATGGGTGGTTGTGCTATTTTATGTCAGAGGGGCAAAGAAGGGCTACAACAAAGTACCACTGACTAGAGCAGAGACTTGAAAAAAGCCAAGGAATGAAATGTGTGGATATTTATAGTTCTGTCCAACAGAAACATAATGGGAACCACAAAGGTAATTCTAAAATTTCTAGTAGTCACATTACAAAAATAAAATAAAAAACAGGTGAAATTAATTTTAATACGATGTTTTATTTTAGCCGATATGTCCAAAATATTTACATTTCAACATACAATTGAAAAAATGATTAATGAGAGATCTTACGTTCTTTTCCTTGTAATAGATATTCAGCATCAGATATGCATTTCACATTTACAGTACATCACAACTCAAGAGCTTAATAGCCACATATGGCTCATGGCTACCAGCATAGGTCCAGGAACAGAATGTCCCCATGGAACTTCCTACAAATGTCAAAGCCCTGAGACAGCAGGCCTAATGTGTTTACTGAAGAGCAAAAAGGCCACAGTGGCTCATGTGATGGGAGTAGAAGAGAGAGCAACAAGAATGGAAGTCAGCACAGTGAGAGGGGATGTAGTCCTGTAGAGGAAGGCAGGCCCATGTAAGGGTTCCACTGTTACTCTGAGTAAACATGGAAACCATGAGGATGGGAGGAGCTTCCTGGGCCCATGGCCTGTGAGCCTATATTTGACCCCATGCCTGGTTTAATCCTGAAATTTTCTAGTTTTTGAACAAGAGGCTGTACATTTTCATTTGCACAAGGCCCAATCAATTATCCCCCTGGTTGTTACTGGAGAGTTTTGATCAGAGTGACATGAATTGTTTTATGCTTTAAAAGGATTACTAGCAAATATAAGGCTAGGAGTAGGAAAAACAGCCAGGATGCTGTTGTTACAAGCCAGGTGAGAGATGATGGCGGCCAAGTGACACCAAGAGGAGGGCCCAATTGGTTGCACTGGCCTGCAGCTACAGCACGGTGCCAGCATCACACCTATGCAGAGCCATGTCCTGCTCAGCCAGTTCCACAGACTTCTGCCCAGTTTCTCAGGTGGGTGCCTGGGAATCTGAGAACCCTATATATTTGCAACACATTTTCTTTTTTATAAGACAGCAGCCATTGGTTCCTCTTCTTGCCTCCCCTTTTTTCTAGAGGGAGGCAGGACACTCTGTGGACCCAGCAAGACTGTGCAGATATAGCACATGGAAGTTCTCCCAAAGAAGAATCCAGGTGCCATCAGAAGATCAGGGTCCCTTTGAATGTTAACAAGCTGCTGAAAGGAAAAAGGAAAGAAGGGACTACAGACTATCTTCTGTGTTAGGTCACTGCAGATGGAACTTCTTATACTTCCTCTTCATTGATTCTAATTAAGTAAATCCACATGGATTTGGCAGGTGATGTAGTCAGAATGGGACACCCAAAATGCATATGCTGAAACTTTGTCTCCAGGGTGACAGGCTTAAGATAACGGGTCTTTAAGAGATAATTAAGATAATTAAGAGAACACAACAACAGACACAGTCTTGGAAGCAGAGATTGGGCCCCCATCAGACACAGAACCTGCTAGCACCTTGATCAACATCCCAGCTTCTGGAACTGTGAGAAAATAAATTTCTTTTCTTTACAAATTATCCTGTCTCAAGTATTTTGTTATAGCAGCAGGAGTAAACCAAGGTAGCAAAATGGGACCCGGTAAAGTTGATGTAAATGCAAAATATAGCTAAAATATATTTAAGTCCCACAAAATGCATTGCTCATATCTCAGTAATAAAATGAAAAAAACATTAACTTTGAAGACTTTCAGTTGTTTTACATTTAAATGTGTTCAATTACCTCCAGGTTTAAGCTGGCAAATGAAAACTAAATTATCAGTATTTAGATTTTAGTTAATCAAATAGAAAATCCATGAAGCCATGTTACAAATGATACAATGCAGCTACCAGTAAGGTAGATAGCAGTAAGTAAAAAGCCTATACTTTCTAATCAAAATTCTTACAAGGTAATTTATTGGCCACATGCTCAAGTGTTATGAAAAGGACAAAACACAGATGTTATCAGCTCCCAACCGCAAGGACTTAGGTCAGCTGCTCACCTTCTTCTGAAGCACGTTGATTTTCCTTTCCTTCACTTCTAACATGTCCTTCATGTCACGAATCTCTCCCGCCAGAGTCCCCTTCTCCTCCGTGAGGTCTTGCAGCTGTTTTGTTTTCTTATTGAGAAAAGATTCTTTCTCTTCCAGTCGTAATCTCAGTGCATCTACCTGAAACCAGGAAAAAAGAAAGAAGGCTGTCATGGGGCACCATTAGTGCTGTCCTAGGAGGGGGTAGGGGAGGGTCCCGGACCACTCAGCGCCATGTGCTTGGCCAGCCCATGTCCACTTGCAAGCTTTGTGGGCCTTTCTGAGCAATAACGCTTTTTTTCTTTTTAACATATATGGTTTCTACAAAATAAGACATATATGACAGTGTGTTTCCATGTTTGTGTCCGTGCTTATGGGAAACAAAGCACAGGGGTACTCCTCATCTCTGAGAGCCCAGGGAGGGGAGATGCTGCTCAGGCTCTCCTCCCAGAATATGGAGAACACAACGAACATCTGGAAGAACAAGATTGACACGTAGAGAAACACTCCTAAATTAGAAAAATACATGTTGCCAGGAGGAAGTGAAGGCTGCCGGGGGAAGAAACTGATGTGGAAACAAAACACCCATTCTCCGGCTTTATGAAAGACTGCTTTCCAAATACTTTAAAAAAAAAAAAAAAAAAAAAAAAAAAAAAAGACAAAGCAAACCCCAAACTCCCTAACTCTATTTTAGCTCAAAAATTTTAAAAATTACAATTCTTGCCTTTCAAATGTTATTAATAGAAAGAGAAAACATCATCTTTATTTTTTAAATTTAACATGCTGAAGGCCATGTGTAAAGAAAGTTCTATTTCTGGACTACACAGACTAAATCATAGGGGAAAAAAATCACTGGGGTGGCAGAAAAATGAGACAATCCAAAGCATATGAAAACAATCAAAAGATCATTTTAAAGTTAATCCTTTATAGCCTTTTTAAATTCTACTTAATTGATCTATACCGTATTTGTATCTGTGTTTATAAATGTACACTAACTTAGTCTTAAAAAGCCACTGCGACAAATACTTTATTTGAAGGTTGATTATCAATAACAGTATGAGATTTCCAAGAAAATTGTTCTCAGCTGAACAATGACATTTAATATATTACTAATAAGACATTTCCTTTCTTATTGATTGTAAAAAAAAAAAAAAAAAAGAAAATGAAAAAGATTTGGATACTTTGCCAAAACTATTGTACTGCCATCTTAGCAGATACCAGAGCTATTTTCTGAATTTCTGTGTCACTCCAAAATTCTTACGTTGAAATTAAATCCCCAAAATGACGGCATTAACAGGTATGCTTTAAGGAGGCAAGTATATCATCAGGGTGGAGTCCTCATGAATGGGATTAGTTGCCTTATAAAAGAGACCCCAGGGGATTTATTCATCTCTTCCACAACAAGGAGGAGCCATCTATGAAGCAGGAGCCCTCCCCAGACACCAAATCTTGGACTTCCCAACCTCTGGAACTGTAAGAAATACATTTCTGTTGTTGATAAGCTACTCAATCAGGGTATTTTGGTATTTTTGTGGTGATAAGCTACTCAATCTAGTATTCTGTTATAGTCCCTTGAATGGACTAAGTCGACCACAAGCACTTATGCTTTCTGAATTGTTAAAGATATCTAAATATGTGATCAACACATAAAGGTGCGGGTTGGATGGATCCATGGGTTCCAGGATCATCTTCTATAATATGTCCTGGTCGCTCTGGGGAGAAATATTTCAAATTAGTCACAGTCCCCTTGATGTGCGAAAGGAATATACTATGTTTACTAACAAATCAAAATTACATAAGATCATACAATGAGTCTAAAAGATGTACTCTCAATATGTTTACAAAAATGTTGATAACAACATTATTCATAACAGATCATTCCGAACTGAACTCAAATGTGAATGAATAAAACTGTAATTTCCTTGGGATAATATCTAGCCATAAAAAGGAATGAACCAGAAACATGTACAGAAACCCAGGTATATCTTAAAAACATGTTGAGTGGAAAGAATCCAGAGGGCTGATTGGATGATTCCATTTTCATTTCTATGAAATTCTAAAGGAGGTAAGACAAATCTATGGTTACAGAAATGACAGCGATGATTATCAGAGGTAGGAGGTAGACAGGACTGATTACAATAGGCCAGGAGGGAATTGTTATGTCCTCTAAATTGATTATGAGAGTAGTTACATAGTATACAGATTTGTCAAGACTCACAGAACTGCACAGTTTAATAACTGATACTCCAATGGACAGTTATAATTTATATTTCAATAAAGTTAAAAATACATGACTGTACAATAAAGATTAACAAATTTCTTACCAGAATCTCTTTCAAGAAAGGAAGGGAACAAAATACAACATAATATCTCATCCTCGGAATCAAATTATCATATAACCCCAGTGGAAGAATGACAGGGGTGGGGCCGATGGGTGCACACGGATAATGAATGGGTTGTTGAGGTGAGGGAGGAGTTTAATCCTCACTCTCCACACCAGGAAATCAACAGACAAAAGTTACATCAACAACCAGGAAGCAGAGATGAAGGCATGTTATTTAAAGACATCTAAATAATCAGGCAACAAGAGTTAAAAGGGGTTGCCTTGGGCAAAAAGAAATGAGATAGAGCTGCTGTATCTCGTAACAAATTTTGTTGAACATTTTCACTGTTTCATACAACAGGCAAGTAAAATTTGGATGAAAAGGAAACAAAGATAAATTTTTCCCTAAAAAGAATGAAATAATACTATCATAAGTAAAATAGATAGATATGCAAATACTATGAGGGCACAGAGCCAAACGGCAACGTGGAACAAGGGAAAGAGAGCCCGGCTTTTAGGCCCAGTTCTACAGCTCTCTGTGAGGATTAGGATGAGGAACTCTCCTGTCCCCCCTCCCAGCCTTCCAGCAAACAGCCTAACCAAAGTACTGTGAAACCAAAAGTTGACAACAGATACTCTCTAAGCGTCTGTAATTTCAAATGCAGGAGTTAGTTGTTGGTAGAACATACCAAGAAAGGATGATAACATCAAAGATAAAGAATTGTTATTGGAGTAAATTTCCTTCTCTTACCCTTGGCAACAAAAAAGTGTCAATGTTGTCTTTCTAAAGGCCAAAGGTGATAGGGAGTGGCTGACGCTGTGGCACAGTGTGTAAAAACAACCGCCTTCAGTGCCGGCATCCTTTTTGGGCACTAGTTGAAGTCCCTGCTGCTCCACTTGCGATCCAGCTCTCTGCTAAGGCCTGGGAAAGCAGTAGAAGATGGCCCAAGTCCTTAGGCCCTGCACCCCTGTGGGAGACCTGGAAGAAACTCCTGGCTCCTGGCTTCAGATCGGTGCAGGTCTGGCCACTGCGGTCATCTAGGAAGTGAACCAGTGGATGGAGGATCTCTCTGTCTCTCTCTGCCTCTGCCTCTCTGTAACTCTGCCTTTCAAATAAGTAAATCTTTTTTTTTTTTTTTAAGTGATAAAGATGAGTGAGCAGAGTTTTTCCAGTTTCTGATGGCAAAAGGAAGATGGGATTGGGATATCCCAGCAAGGGAAAGGGTGATGACAGGCATGAGCTTAGAGTTCCAGCACGGCCTGACTGCCTTATGAGAAAAGGTGGCGATTCTGTGATTAGAGATGCTGAGAAGTGCAGATTCATCACAGAGCTGCTGGCTGTACCTGTTCTTGTGGGATGGTACAGAGATAAGAGCAGGGAAGGTAGAAAATTCATGCCAGCTGATGTCAACACGGCAGATTCTCAGGTGGCTTACCTCTGGCTAAAGTTCTCTTTAGGGGCTGCTCCTCTTCTAATCCAGCTCTCTGCTATGGCCTGGGAATCAGTGAAAGATGGCCCAAGTGCTTGGGCCCCTGCACATGTGGGAGACCAGGAGGAAACACCTGGCTCCTGGCTTCAGATCGGCACAGCTCTGGCCATTGCGGCCATCTGGGGAGTGAACCAATGGAAGAAAGACCTTTCTCTCTGTCTCTCCCTCTCACTGTCTGTAACACTATCTCTCAAATAAATAAATAAAATCTTTAAAAATAAATAAATAAAGTTCTCTTTACCTACCAATCTGGAATGACACCACAACTTTTCTTTGAGTTTTCACCCTATCTAGTGAAAATGACTTTCCTCTTATGCACAAAGTGTGGACATTTGGTGAGTTCCTTGCAAACTGGCAGGACATGCTGAGCATCCCAGCCCATAATAGTGGTTAACAGAGGGTACAGTCAGTTATATAGATTTGTACACAATCTTACCAGGGCTCAATAGGATTCAGAGAAGCAATCCATGATTGCGGTCCCATTAGCCCCACATAGCTATACCTGGACTAAAAAGAAATGCCCACCATCCAAACCAGAACATAAATAACTTACAACACAGGAGGTAGTGAGTGCTGCTGGATAGAGTATAGGAAAAGAAACTGTGTAATGACAAAGAGGACACTTAATATTTGCAGCACCTTTTTGCCATGTGTGATCTATCAGTGCCCTGTTGCACCTTCCTGACCACAGAAGAGATGAAAAGCAACCCTAGTCGTGAGAATATTTCTGCAGGAATAAAATAGAGAGCAAGGATGGTTGTGATCAACACACTACTCACAACACCCAAACTCAACATGGCAGGAAGGAGTCGCTGCCAGCTGAGGTCTTGTTTGGGAGTTTATTCTCCATGTGCCGGAAAGCACGCACTTAACTTCAAAGGAATTTGGATCATGCCCTTCAATCACCTCCATTCTATCTTTAGATATTTGCGGAGTCTCTGAGAATTGAGAAATGAAGCTTGAGGGCCTGTTTTGTTATTTTTTTAATATAAAACTTTGACCTGAACCACATCCAATCCTCAACCAGCATTAGCCCGATTTGCAGTAAGCAAGTATGACATCATTTCTAAAGTCAAATTTGAACTTCCAGATGGTGCAAAACCACAAGCAGACGCACAGGCCCCTGATGCACAGTGGTTTAAACATGGGGAAGATCAAGCAAGAAAGAATACTTTATTAAAAATTAGAATATGTAGCTCTAAACTGGGTATCAATGAATGTGATTAAAGTTCTGCTCACTAATACTGCAACTTCACTCAACAGTGTACATCATTCTAAAATGAATCAGAAAAACCTTGAAGTCTAGATTATATTCCAACATCAGGTAG